AGCTGATAACGGCTATGGCATCCGCACATTCAAGTATTACAATTACTTCCTATTAAAAGTTTCACATAATATAATGCAAGTCAACCTGGTAACAAAAGATCATCGTGTATCAGAATAGCCTTTCTCACGTACTTTAGATCGAATATTAAATGACAGAAATATTATACGCATTTTTGAACACAGAGCCATTATTTTCGCGAAGCATCCCTTTATGACGTATTCGATAGTGGCTCTCCAGAGATACTTGGTTTTATTATCTGTGAATTTCTATGACATTTTTTTATTTAATCATTTCACCCCAGGCAAAGTGACAACATCACTAAGATGCAGGAGCATAGTGAGAGTGAAAGAAAATGAGAAGCTGTAAGCTAGGAGAAAAATATTAAAAGAACAAGAATTCAGAACGGCAGAATATGGCAATCGACGTTGCATTTAAATATTTGAAGATTGTAGGCGGCAGGGAGAAAAACAAAACAGAAGAGAGTTTCACAGACGAAATGTGCGAGAAAAGAAAATATTAGGATAGAAGTTACGGTTGCATTTAGCTATTTCAAAAGTAAAACGATGAAACTTGCCAATCATGTAGCATGCTTAAATTCATGCTGCCGTGATAGCAAGGAGGAGTGAACAATTTTCAAGAAAATGTAGGAAAAACACAGAGAAGCCTCATCAAGGCAGTGAAAATGGTAATCAAGTCGCGGTGCTGATAACATTACAGACTTTGCTTTCGATTTTTTCGCCAATCTTGAGAAATATATTAGGAACGCCAGACGAAATATGGCAGCAATATTCAATGTACAGACGGATAAGAGATATATAAACGTGCAAGATGGATTCTGGCAAGAAAAATTCTCTGATACAACACAGTGAACCAATTATCCTCGCAGCAAAACTAGCATTAGATTCAATATAAATATTACACTTCATGTCAGTGGAAAACGTGAGAACAGGGAGTCGTAATGTATTTCTTTCCTGGAGGTTTGCCTTGCAGATGGAAAACAAAAATTGATGAAAAACTTTGGGAAAAATAATAGTGGTTTTCTTGTTATTTTCATAATGGATGTAGATACTAAGCTAACCTTCTAGGCTCTCTATCACCCAAGTCTAGATTAGCTACCCTATTAAGGCTATAGGGAGGAGTAGGGAACAGAAAATGTTTCATATCTTTCCTAATGATATCAGTGCAAAAGGCGAGGCTTGAAAATTAATCAAAGCAGACGATTCCACCGTGCGAGCCAACAAGCGTTATGCTAACCGCACGTTCACAAATTTCAGTAAATTTGTAATATATATATATATGAAGAAAAATATATGGAAAAACAAAAATCCGAATATGCAAATATGCTGTTTTAATGTTATTTCAATGTTGACGTCAGACGTTTCGGTTTAGTAGACCTTCTTCAGGACAGAGTTATTAAAACATAATTAACATTAGACGATATTCAAGTCAACATGAAAAGACGATAGGCATAAGAGTAAGACTAATCAAAACAGAATAACTGAAATTTTTAAGATCAGCGTTCCGTTTCACAATATGTTTTTCCATATATTTTTCTTCATACTGTCGGATCTATATCCATTTACATATATATATATATATATATATATATATATATATATATATATATATATATATTATTAAAATAGTAGTGACAGGGATGACTGGATAGAGACGTTGGTCGTACAGAACAACTTTATATACATTCTATGTATTTTTAGGTCAATCTCTATCCTTAAAATAATAGAGTACATCATTTGTGAAGAGAAGCATGCATTTGGGGAAGAGGTTGTTACAAATTTAGAAATAGTTTATAGGGATGTCTGACATTCATTTGTGCATTCTACAAAAGGATAAATAGAACCGTACCCGGCTCTGACGCTCGCAAACGTTATTTTCTCCCACAAACTGGGGATCACGGTAGATAATACGATCTGTGCAAGTAACAGTAACTATGCTGAACAGAAGTTAGTTACTGTTACTCGGACAGATCGCATTATCTGCCGTGATTCACAGTTTGGAAAAAAAAATCCTGGACGCTTAAAGACTCGACCGCGATGAATTGTGACTTGGAGTTAGATCAACTATCGACGAACAGTTCCGTCTATCCAAGTTCGTTCAACTCGTGAAATGAAAGGATTGCCTCCCAAAATCAATGGCATGAACATATAATACTATTATTTATTTTAAGATATTAAAAAAAAAAAAACCCCCCAAAAAAAAAACAAAAAAAAAAAAAAAAACATGTTAGGAATCGCTACACAATTATAATAATTTTTCAACACTACAAATGTGTCTCCTCGGGTGATGGTAAAATAATTAGCTCTACTTTGTACTGACCTCTCTTTTAAATTAAATGTTACATACAGTGGCATTATACTACATTTGTTCTCATTTTACCTATATATATATATATATATATATATATATATATATATATATATATAGATAGATAGATAGATAGATAGATAGATGTATAGATAGATATTACACAGAAAAATATCCCAAATCACCTCATTTGGGTATAGCACTATTTCAACTATCGATAAGTACGTTGGTCTTATTCAACCCTGAAGGGTGGACTGCGACTCCTTTCGTCCGTTGCTAGAAATTAACAAAGGGAATTTAATGATCTTATGTTACTGCATGTGCTTATGAACAGAAATAAAGATATCTTAAGTTTTTCAGAATGTTTTAATTTAGAACGCTTATATATTTACTGATGGATTAGTGAAAGTCACAGTAAACTATGGTGGATACTAAATGATGTGATGTAACTTTTCTTCTCATAAACAAAGCTGAGTCAATTTTCTTATATTTCTGAGCGTCCTTACATTTACAAATTCTG